GGGTGGTTAGTTAACATGCACGAGAGCCTAGGTTCAATTCCCTATAGTAGAAAAAAGATTACACGAAGAAATAACTTGTAGATCAAAGATCTAAATGTTAAAATAGAAACAGCTAATCTGCTACAAGACAAAATAGGTGAAACTCTTAAAGGCATAGGCATAGGCACAGGCATAAGCAAGGGCTGCACTCTGTAGGAGACTCAGAAAGAGCACTAGAAGATCGTGAGCAGCAGAGGAGAGCATAGAGGAAGGACAGTAGAGTTAGTAACTTTTAAATTTGAGTGACAGATATATGTGGATTTGTTAAGTTATTCTCTATTTCTGTACATGTTGAAAATTTTCTATAATACTTTTTCTCCCAAAGCGCAGGTTTATTCATGAATGTTCACAATCATTAAGGAACATAATCAGGTTCCCAAAGATGTGCCAGGAGTGCCAGTGGATACTGGACGCATGCACCGTGGCATATGTTGAATGCAGTTACTGCTGTATGTAGTAGGTGGTTGCTGCACTTTGACCTCAGGACCAAGCTGTAAAAGCTGTTCTCTTCTCACTTATGTATTTTGACTAAACATCAAACTTACGCACAGTCACCACCTGAAAGTTTTAGGACTGACGAGAGCACCTGTAGTCATTCTTCAGCCTTACTGGGGATGTAAGGTACACTGCTTTGGTGTTAGCCACTCCGTGACCACGCAGGGAGTCATGGGCCACCACAAGAGCACCTTCTGCCAGTGCTACCAGCTGAGCTCCTGCAACTGTAGACTGCATACATTTTCTTTAAGAGCTGACACACATTTCCCTGTACCTCAAGAATATGTTCTCCAATTTCTATAGCATAAAAGAGACTCACAGACATCCAAGTCCTGAAGCAGATGCCCACAGTTATAAAACTCATTTCCCATGGCCTATATACGCTATCTGTTTTGGTCTTTCTCTAATTTGGGAGTTTCAAACTTCTTTCCAGAGGTAGCATGAACCTCCTTTCCACCTTGGGTTTGTTCCCAGATCTGTTTCCCTATCACTACTTATCTGATCTCTGCAAGGCCTAACAGTAGTGGTAAACCTATGGCATCCATGCCACAGTGGGCTGTTTGTTACCATTGAAAGGTCCAAAAGGTTTGCCAGGAGAAAAGAGGAAGATTCATAGCACCAGATCTTCAAAAATCAACACTTGAGGCATCTTCTCCTTCCTCTACTCTGCCTGAAACTTCTGTACGCTTTTCCTTCCTCTGTGCTCCTCTGCTGCTCACGCTCCCCTGGTACTGTCTCTGATTCTCCTATACAGGGTGCAGCCCATGGAGGCACACCGAGGTTCCTTTCTCTTCCCTATTTCTTTTTGTTTTTGAGACAGGGATAGGCTGGCCTTGAACTCAATATATATTCCAGTCTGGCCTCAAACTCACACATGCATTTATTTCTCAAGTATATACCTAGGAATAAATTATAAAGGTACCAGTTTCTCTACATCCTTGCAGGCACTTGTG